AATTCACCAGGTAGAGCAACTGAAAGCAGTGTTACTGGGGACACGGCCGCAACGACGCAAGCCTCGGCGGCAAGGGGTACGTCGTTGAGTCGGGTTCGGCGGCTTTCTCGGTTACCTTATCTGCCAGTTACTATTTATTTAACAGGTGCGGTTCACTCAATCTTCACATAGTCTTCTCCGACGATTATGATTCCTGAACGTGAGTCATAACCCACTCCACGCTGAATCTGTGCATCCAGTGCCCGCACTTCTAAGGCCATTCGAAAACAACATTGCCTTTGCATTTCCCTTTCTTGTGACATGCACCGAAGGACGCATGGACTTCTGGGAGGTTCTTTCTACTAGTCTGCCCGGTCTGGTGCACGCCACTTCGCTTTCCAAGCCCATACATGGAGGATCTGCGTCATACATAATCGCTGACCTCTCCAGAGACGCGATACTTGTTCCTCAAGGCTTTGTCGGACTCTACCTCTACAGCCTGCGGACTGGCCAGTTTGGCAAATAATTAGGCGTCTTTGGTGATCTCCAGGGATCGGTGGATGTCGACACCTCAGCAGTGTTTGAGTGAGGAAATTCATTCTACAAAAAAAGATTCGGATACGCTCAAGGATGCATAGAACACATTGGAACAAAAGGGGGGGGGGGGGGGGGGGTAAAAAAAAAAAACTCCGCCACATTTTATGGCCTGAGGCAGCCTCAAGTCGAACGAGGTGTTCCTCCAGAGAATTTGCAAAAATTTCAACGAAGCATTGGAAGATGCCCGATAGTGAATGTTCTCAATGCTGGGACATATGGTGCACAATCGACCAGGCCTGGTGCACAAACGTGAAGTTGGTTTTTGTTTTCTTCGAAGCTATGAATCTCCTTCCTGCACTTTAACTTGAATTCAACTTGAGAGCCGCATTACAATTTTACAGCCAAAGTGAGGTGGGAACGTCTTTAAACGAGGCGAAGAGAAAGAAGAGTAAACGAAAAAAAGTTCAACCATGGTTGAAAACGGGGGATCATGTGGTCGTTTCACGCGTGGCCATCAACCAAGCTTAACCAAATATGCTCGCCCCTAACGCGTCTTTCTCAAAACGCTTCATCGCTCACTGAACCCTCCCGCCAAGTCCCAAAATCCACACGCGAGTCTCACCGCCCTCCCAACACTCGCCACTTTCATCCGCAGCGCCCGCCACGCTCACAACAATGCTCACGGGCACCCCAAAATGCGCCGACGTCTGCGCCCCAGAGCACGCCACGACCTACCCGCGCACCCATCGTCTCCTCCACGCCTGCGCGAAAGCGCTCGAGTGTCGCCGTAGCGCTCATGCGTATACTTCCATCCTGGGGGAGATCGCCGTGGAGCGCGAAATCGACACGCCCAACAAAGAACCAGTGCAAGAAGAGTTGGGAAAAGAGCCACATGTCCGCCTTGTTTGGAACCTGAGATGCAATGGTACCCGGATCTGGGGGTGCATCGCAAAAGACGAGCGGGATGTCGCTGTTGTAGGTGCCGGCATCTGCCTGAATGCGGACATGGTGCATGCACTGGAGAGCGTTACTGTTTGTTTTCAATTAGTAACTGCCATTCGGACTTTACTCAATGCGTTCTCACAGAGTCCGTTTCTTGTCGACGTCTGTAGCCTCCTGATTTGTGTTACGTATGCGCATGAAAAAATGCACGCCGTTCATCATGCCCTCTATCCTGAATACTATTTGGAAACCACCCCAGATAGTTACGGGACGGAATCCGATGGCCCTCAAGGCGAATCTGGAAATGGCCTTGAGGCGAGATTGTTCGGCGGAAACGTCGAAATTACATGGCCAGACCGCGTCCGAGTGGGGTTCTTCGACACTATCGTGCGCTTGACAGTACGGGCGAGCTCAGGATTGTACATCATGAGTGTGTTACATTTTTCCTCTCTGCCCACCCCTAGCGAGCTGATTATTGCTTGATTTTTGGCGCGTTCAGCTCACGAGGACGTCAAGGCATTCCTCGCCGCCATCCACGCTGGCGACATCAAGCCTCTGCGCATCGCCGACATGAAGAAGGCGGAAGAGGCCATGCTGCCGACGGTGGGCACTCGGGGGATGAGTTCTGCCATTGTCGAGGCGCCGACCCCAGGCGTTGGGTTTGGCATCACGCTGGGACCAAAGGAAGTGAGCTTAAGGGTGGGGGCAGACCGGGCACCCTACTGTCTCCCCATTTACCATGGTGCGAGACAGGAGGACCGGGAGTGTGGGACAGCGGACGTGGCGGATGAGGAGGAGGAGGGGATGGGGGATGTGGTGAAGGATGATGGGAAGCAGAGATGAAGGAGAAGGAGGGAGCTTGATGCGGAGTGGGGCCCGGACGAGCGTGATGGGGGTGGAGACGACAACGACGGGGGGAATGGGGTGGTGAAGAATGAGAATGAGGGGAGGACGCAGAATCGGGCGGGGACCGGCGCGGCTGAGAATGAGGAGGACGAGTGAACCATGAGGGGGCAGGACTCGGGGCAGATGGATAAGAATGAGCTGAGGAGAAGGACATACATTACTGTATGTTACAATCAAGAAGTCGAAGAACGCGCTTTTGCTGGAGCAGCTCGAAGTACGTATACCATCCCTTCTATTCAACATCAATTCGCGTACGAAAATCAAGAACTGACAACTCACACCTATAGCCTGCCCGGACTTAGACACCTTCCTTGCGACCTTTTGCTCCGCCAGGAACGAGCCGTTTGCGTCCGACGGGGGCGACGCATAGGACGGCGTGGGGGCCGAGGAGGGTGCGCGTCGAGTGGACTGCTGAGGAAGTCCCACCCACGGCGCGTCGGTCGCGACCGTCACATTACCGCCTTGGGTTACGGGAGGTGGGATTTCGGGGGCGAGGACTGAGGATGAGTAGCATAAATTATGAAATGGAATGCATGTGAGCGCTCATAGCATAAAGCTAGCTTCGAGGTATCGTATATTCTCCGTGCAGGTAGCGGCATATTCGCCCAGCAGCTAGAATGCGCCATCATCTGGGCTTGAGCTTGCATTGGCAGTTTGTGGGCCGCAACTGCGGGGCTAGGCGGTCGCGTTTAAAGCACTCGTTGAGACACCACTGACGGACAGATGGACCAGGGAGAAAAAGAAGCATGAGGCATGGACCAGCGACGGATGGATTTTGCGACGACATAAAGCATGGTGTCATAACAAAAGAGACGGTGGCTATCTACGCTCACCGACCCTTGCCGCCCTTCATCTGCTGTTTCGACACCTTGGGACCAGAGGCAGCGGCCGAGCGTGCGGGCTGCGAGTGTGTGTGAGGAGGGTAATAAACGTGAAGAGACGCAACACGCACCTTTGCCTTCTTGACCTCCTTCTCCTTCTTCTCCGTCTTTGCCTTGCTGATGGCGGCGAGGCGGAGCTGGGAGCGCTGTGCGGCGGTCTGGTTGCGCTTGGCGGCGATGGCGTTGAGGTCGGCGCCGACGATGCCGCGCTGGTGCTTCACGGTGCGGCGGGAGCGCTTCTTTGCGACCTCCTCCGTGATGCCCTTCTTGTGCATCCGGCGGTAGACCTGCGTCCATGCGATCTTACGCGGGTTTTTCCGTTGCAGGAAGAGGGACGCATTTTTGGAGGAGGCGAACCGGAAGACCTGGACGTGTAAACGCCATGAGTATTGAGAGTAGGGGGAGGAGTAGGGGACGCACTTTAGAGTCGCCGCGGACGAAGAGCTTGCCCTTACTGGGGTAGATGCGGAAGCCGGAGAAAGAGTCGATCTCGACCTTCTGTGCTCACAAAATTCCCGTTAGAAATGCGCAGATGATATCCCAAGTAAACGCACCATCTAGAAAACAGAACGCAAAGGCAGAACAGAGGTCAGCCAACATTCGCGAAAATTTTGCACTGCGCGTCATCCGAAATGGAATTGGTGCATCCAAGTCCGTGCCCGGCCAAATCCGCCCGAACGGGTACCATTGGAAAGCCAGGAAGCAGGGGAGCACGGATGGGCAGCGTGACGGGTTGGGGAGGGGAAGGGGACTCACGGTGTCGGAGTCTTGAGGAGGGAGTACAGGTGGGCGGCTTTCGCTTTGGTCTTGTTGTCCTGCGCCAACTCGCTGCTGCTTCCCACGCACAGACCTTCAAACTTGACCCTCATCTTCTCGCCGACACTCGCATTGGTACGGCTTTTCAAGCACACAGAGTGGTGCGGGTAAGTAGCTAGAGGCAACAACACACATATGCCTTTGGCCAAAGTCTTCTCTCCGCGCTCTGTATCGATGACTCCGATTGTCGTCTTGTGGCGGCAATGCATCCGGCCTCAGAACGGGCCTCCATGCCGATGCACCTGTGCCTTCTTGCGTCGGAGTGTGCGACGCGTCGGCCATGGCAGTACAGTCTGTGGCTGCATCGCAACGATTCCCATACTGCGGCCATACCATATATTTTAGGTGGGTATATCGGTTATGTCGCAACGGTTCCGACGCAGCAGCCGTGCCATTATTTCCTGTCTGTCGCCCATCTCGCTCGACATGCCGCCGAATATTCCGAACTGCTTGGCGATTCATCGTCATGACTGGATTCTAGCTTCTGCTATCCTGCATGCTGCACTCTACATGACCGACCTCTGTCAACGATGAACAGCACCTAATGGCTCCTCTTCCACGGCACGTCCCACCGCGGCTCCCTACACGCGAAGTGTACTACTTGTTGTCCTTGCCTCTCGTTATTTGACGCTCGGCAGGGTTGCAATACCCACTCTCTCTCTCTGAATCTGTAGCGTGCGATACACGAGCAGTCACCACACGTCATCTGGCACGGCCGGCGAGCATTGCGTCGAGTTTCCGTCGAGGCAACTCAGAATCGGTATCATTGAGTCCATTCAACTTCGTTCAATCGGCTCGTTCAATGACAGAGTTGGGTTGGAGCCTGGGTACAGCCGTGCATTCACCCGAACGCTTCCCCCTCCGTGCCGAATTCAACTCTCCCTCACCCTCTCCCATTCCGCTCTAGCATATACCCCATCATCGTCACTGTAAATTATCGGCCTGGTGGTGTAATCGGTAACACATCTCCTAAATTTGAATAAGCTGTTTCCGAAGTTTTATGGAGAACCTTCCCGTTCGACTCGGGGTCAGGCCATGTGCCTGCCAAATAGCTCTTTGATTATCGTTTCAACATTCAATCAAATTGTTTTTTATCCAGTCTCTTCGTTCGTCGTTTATCTTCCGTCTCTCTTCGTTCGTTTGCAGTTTGCAATGTGCGTTCAGGCTCGGGTTCTATCCTTGCCGTCCCTTGCCTTCCTGGTCCAGATTTGAATCTATTGTTCAACGACCCACATTGCCACTAGCATATACCCCATCATCGAAGGGAGAGTGTACTGGCCTGATGGTGTAATGGATAACACATCTCTGAACAGTAGCGGATGATCTGAACGCAAAATGTTGTGGGAAATTCCTCGTTCGACTCGGGGTCAGGCCGTGTCCAGAAGCTTCACAGTTTTTTGATTTTTTTTTTTATTTGCTCTTCGACTCGACCTTTACATTTCACATCTGATCAAATTACGTTCTGCGCATTCTGGTCGACGGGGTTTCAAACCGGCTCGGGGCTGCTTTTCTTGTTTCCCTCTAACCTTGAAATCGTCGCATCAGTGTGACTGTGTGAGCAGGTTGTTTGGAATCTATGTTGAGTTTCGCTCTACATCCCAATATACTCCAGCAGCAAGTGCAGCCAGCATCGGCCTGGTGGTGTAACTGGAAACACGTCTTCACATTTTTCACATGTCTCAGCGTCATTCAGAGGAAATTCCCCGTTCGATTCGGGGCCAGGCCATGTTCAAGTCCATACCTTTTTTTATTTTTTATTTTATTTGCTCCTCAACTTTGATTTGAACTGTACACTACGCTGTCATTTGCCTCAAGTGCACTCTCCGCATTCTGTTCGACGGGGTTTCAACTCGTTTCGGGGCTGCTTTTTTGTTTAACTGTGAATCGCTGTTTGGAATCCGTGTTGATTTTCAATCTGCACTCACTCTAGTATAACCCATCATCAATAATAGCCAGTATCGGCCTGGTGGTGTAACTGGTAACACGTCTCCTTGTTTTCATAAGTCTCCACAAAGGCTCAGGAGAACTACCCCGTTCGATTCGGGGCTAGACCGTATGCGTTCAACGATCTTTTTGTCTTATTCTTTTTGACTTTGCTTAGACTTTGCTTTTCTTCATGCCCGTCAATTTCGCCAAAAGCTTGTAGCGTTTTTGTAGCTAGCCTCATTTCCTCTCTGAAACCAGCCTTTCTTGTTGAAATGCCATCGTTGTGTTCAATCTCAAATTCAACTGGCACCCAATCGTAGTCGGATTCAAACTCTACTCTACCTTGACTCTGCCAAATACCCATCATAAATAGTTGTTGTCAGAGGCTTGGTAGTGTAATGGAAACACATCTCCTAACCATAGCTCGTGGTAAAGGTGGTTTATGGAAAAGTTCTCCGTTCAATTCGGGGTCGGGCCGTGATGGGTATGCTTGCGTTTTTTTTGCGTGTTATTCTTTTTTTCCGGCTGCATATATGCTCTTCTGGGCTGCGTAACTCGGTCCCATTCCTTTCCATTCTATTTGCTCAAGCCCAGCGTTCACTCCACGTACTACTCATTCACTGTATTTCGAAATTCGCTCGAGACCTCAGACAGGCCCGAGTTCAATTTTTTTTTTCTTTTCAAAAATTCACATCGCTTTTTCAACTCATTAACTCTCTGCACGTAACAGAATTCTCTGGTTTCTTTCACATGCAAGCCAATCTGCCTTCTCCTGAGCGCTGTGGGCTCTGAGCAACGCGATCAAATAACACGATACACGTGACCGCGACGCGACGCGTGCTCCGAGTCTGACGCGTTAACCAAAAATGACGTCAACTCACCGTCAGCTTCAAGCATCGTCAAGCGCTCGCTCCCCGCTCCTCAATTGCTCCTCCCGCTCCCAAATGACGCCTTGTGGGTTCAAGGGCGTATATAAAGGGACCGCAAGAGCCCATTGAATCCAACATCTCCCACACACCTCTCTACCAAAACACAACCACTTCACCCACCCACTATCAACATGTCTGAGCCCAAGTACGTTTTTCCTCTGGACATTCGATTCCGCTTGGTCCTGACCATTTCTCCAGCAAATCCACCGGCCAGTACCACTCTACCAAGGGTACCGCCGTCGAAACCATCGGAAACCTGACCGGTGCTACATCGTGGCAACAATCTGGAAAGGTTTGTCCTTTATCCGCCTCCAAACTCAATCGCTAATAAATCGCCGCATTTTTCAGGAGGAGCATGCCTCTGGTGAAGCAGAGTACAAAGCCGCACAGGCGAAGGGTTACGCCGAGGGCACCGCCGACCGTATCACCGGGAAGAAGGACAGCGTCGTCGGTGGCCTTACTGGCGATAAATCCCAGCAAGCGCAGGGAAACGTGCAGCACGACAAGGGCGAGGCCCAGCAGGAGGTTAACAAGCACGCATAGACGCCAACGCTCAACGCAACCGGAGAATTCATTGTATCCAATATAACACCCAATCTGTAAACATCTGTACTTGCAACAGAGAGCAATCGTAATACGTAATTGCCTTGTCGAAAATTCTGAGTGCCGCTTCGCAAACTCTTCTGCTTCTATGTCACTTGCTTTTCAAACTACATTGATCTGTCTTTCAATATAGGCACAACCGGAAGCTGAGTTGAGTCTGAACTGATGGACAATCAACGTACCAGTCCGAGTCTCTCTTTTCCTACGATTTACAGCATTGTCGAGGAATACGGACAAGATTCAGCTGGTTTACTATTTGATTGCATACATCTCGAGCCGTTACAAGCACAACTCAGCGCCATCATGGTCCAAAGTAGAGATTTCGCAGTCTCGGACCACCTATGCCGGTGCATGGCCTTGAAAGCATCGGCCACGCGGTGCTCCGCAAGAGAAAGCACTGTCTGCTCCCGTTCGTAGAACCCTTCATCCGGGAACGCCGACCCAGCAACAGGACATACGGTGTTTGGGTCTGGCAACACACCGTTATAGAAATATTCGCGAATGTGGCCCCAAGTGCAGACAGATGGGGCGGCGACGGATTCGTGCAAGAGGTAATGTCAGCCATTCGACCCTAACGAAAAGTAATGGAGTTAAGGTGTGTACTTACCCCAGCGCAATCCTGAATTGGAACGACGGAACCAGGGAAGGTTTTAGCCATTTTCCTCGGGCTGGGAGCAATTAGAATTCTTGTTGCGAGGTTAGGAAAGGTTTATTAGCGGCGTTACCAGATCTTGTTAACGAATGAATATATGGAACCTAAACCAAAGATCGCACTGTCGTACCTGCCGTATTACCGATGAGGAGCAACGGAAAACTGGTATTCCCGGAAACAGGGCCTGTTAGAACCGTTCAGCTAAAAGAATCACGGTTTATGAATTGATTGGGGGCACCTTGAAAGTGCTGCTTGGGGATGTCCCACCCACTGAGAGACTGTCAGCGCTGCCACAGAAGGCAACCCAGGTCAAACGTACGTGCACGAAATCCTGATACTCGCGAAAACACTTCCCAGACTGGAAGTCTTCAACATGTTGTTGTGATGTTTCTCCGTCTCCTCGAATCCGGACGGCACTGCACGTCATCACTGCAGAGGATGGCGACGTCGACCTGAGAGTCGAGTATGGAGTCGAATTGATGCTCGCTGGGATCGCACGAGCACTCGAACGGTGAGGGCTTCAAGAAGTCGATCAATGGAGCCCCGTCGCCACGGGCAAGACCTGCAAGAATGACTGCGAGCGGGCGGAACAACGTTAGCGGCCAATACAGGGAGCTTAAGACAATCAGGCACAGGGAGTTGTAATCGATGACCCCATAGCCTGATGCGGTTTTCACAGGCACAGGGCGCACGCGGACAGAATCATACAACGCGGTGAGATTCTGAGAGATGGCCTCGGGCGTGGGGGCATAGAAAGCGCATCCCGTGGGGCCAGCGGCAACACAACTATCAAAGAAAATCTGCAGAGTCTTGTCAGCATCCAACAGGTTATTCGACCACAGTGCTACGATTTGATGAGGCCCGAACAAGGCCCGAAGTAAGAAGAAGTTGAACTGAACAAGCTTACTGTCGAAATAGTTCTCCGCATCCACAACGCCATCTATAATGAGGCGCTCGACTTTGTCCTGACAGGACAAATATTTATATAATACATCAGGATGAAGGTATGAAACGCACAGGGAATATTGCCGCAAATACGGCGCCGAGAACACTTCCATCGCTGTAAAAGAGATAGATGAGATGTTTACATTCATACGTGACTGGCGAAAATCCCCAGTACCGAAGCTTCTCCCTCCCGTGTTGATATGCGCCAAAATGCCAAGCCACCCGCATGCTCGGCGGCCACGCGGGCGTGTACTTGTGCCTGGGCCCAAGACGACCCAACACATCAGCGCTTGCGTTCAGGTCGCGTACGGTTGCATGGCCGAACAAAAGGCGTTCCATATGCGTCTCGAAAAACGATGCACGCGGAGTCGAACGGGCCACACCTTGAACAAAAACAAATAGCACAGATTCGTCACTAAAACTTGACTAAAACGGGTACTCACCCTTGGTTGAAGTTGGGATCAAAGCCAACTAAGTATATCAAACTCGGGGCCAACGGTCTGAGCGAGGGCAGCGCCCAAGAAGTTGACAATGTCGACCCCGCTACCACCTGGACCACCAGGGTTGATTAGTATGGGTCCTCGATACTGAGGGGAGTCCGCAGGAACAGTTGCAGGGTAGCGCGTCATCGCGATGGCGACCTTTGCGCCATGCGGTTCAGGATAGTTGAGAGGGACCTGCGATGGACGTATGTTATGTGGTATATGCGCATGAAAGGAATCCTTTTGACGTTCAGGCGGGCGCATTGTAGGGACGTGAAGCAGTCCGTCCATTCCAATTCGTCGCTCGGTACAACCTTGCGGTGCAGATTGAAAAGTAACTCGGCGGTGCAGGATAGTTTGATGACTCACGTCTGTCTAAGAGAATTTAATGTTCTCCTGTGTCGGACCTCGAACTCAATCGTCCTTCGATGAAGGCGATTGTTCTCTAGGGTCACGACGACCGTTATGAGTGCAGCAAGTGCAATTCCATCCAAACAATATTTTTCGGCTCATGTCTTGCGGGAGTGACTTGGCATATAGAGAGTCCGTGATCGACGTTTGCGGCACAGATCCTCTTTCTGATATACCCACTTTGGTATGTATCTCAAGAAGCATCATCATTTCCCTCGTGCTCGCTGCAGCGCGACTGACACCCACGATGTAGTCGGGCCTAGCGGGATCTTGTTACACAATGCCTTGAGAATGGATTAGACGCTCACAGGCTATTCTCACGAATGTCTTCAGATTTAACGCTGATGGCTAGTTAACGGTGGGTCGAGGTAGTGTCGAGGTCGGTGGCAGAATCCCGGATCGGGTATCGCATCTGCCGAACAGTTCCACGGTCGGGCCGCTGCCGGCCGACATTTTACTCACGGTTGAATGTACGACTAGGAGTCTTACAAGGTCGGTGAGCGTGCAGACTACCCTAGAGTACGAGAAAATGTCGGCAAGGGTTCCGTTTTGGAACCAGGAGGACCTTCCCGCATTGATTCTTCTCCCGCCTTCTGCATTTAATGGCACTCCATTATATATTGTGCCGAACAGGTGCCTGACTGCAACCCCAGAATCCATTGGGAAAACTGCCCCGAGGTTGAGCAGATGACGTTCGCGACAGATAATTTTCACTGTCATCTGAAAATACATTCGAAAAGAGCGATAACTAGCCTGACTTCGAACATACGCGGCGGACGTTGTGGAAATTATTTCATATTCGGGCAGATTCAGTGAAGAAGTCCACACAACTCCCACTAATCCTCCCATTCCAGATGAGGCGGCGCTCCTTCTCTTTTAAAAATGAATGTTGAATACCTTCAATAAATTAACATGCAAGGAAAGAATATGAACGAAATATTACCCTTTTCATATCGCATACGTTTCAAAGGCTTTTTAAAAATATCATAGCCGCCCAGGCACATTGAATGTTGCGCAGGCTGCAATGCGAAACAAGATAATTATTCTGTGAGCCAGAGAGCCGAGAGATAACCAACCCGATTAATAATGTCGCTCTGCACTTTAGGCGTCTATAATCCCTTCGGACATTCTTTCAGGCTGTATATTATCGTTTGCAAGACGCTTAAACATCTTCAAACGTCTAGGTGATACATTTCTCCATTTGGTCCATGGTGTTCAAACTCCCAATTGGGGTCCTGCCTCCGTGATGATTCAACTACCAGTTCAAGAGTCCCTGATTTCTCCATGACACTCTGAAAGCATTCGTTCTTTCAAGGCCACACGTTACGTGCCGAAGATTGGGACTGCTAACTGGGGCAAAATCCAGGGCACCTGCGTTCCAGGTGCCTCCGAGGCATGTGGTCTGCAGATGCAATGAGCTTGACATGCACAAAAGAAATAAAGGAAATGCCATCTT